AAGAAGAAGAGTCAGAGAGAGAAGATTCCCGAAGAATGGGACCACATAAAAGATCATCCAAATCATCCACACCCTATTCTCATTTCGCCTCTCCCTTAATATAGTGTAACCACCTCTACACCACTCACTCCCACATTTGCAATGTTCTCATGATAAACACATTCCCTTCTCCATTTTCTTGACACGTGGTCTTTCTTATGAATATCTTTCTTATGAATATCCTCATATTGAGTCGTTACATTTCCTCCCCCCCTAACAATGACCTTGTCCTCAAGGTCGCAAGATATTATGCTATGGGTGCAAAGTAAAAAGAGAATGATGTCCTCTTCCTCCAATGTAAAAGTTATAGCATTGCACTATGATTGAGAGAAAATCTTGGCAATTGTCAGAGGAATCACTTGCTGGATGTCATGTGGCAGAGCTTCGGTAATGGCAATAAAAGAGGTAAGGATTAGGAACTTGAATAACTCCAGTCCATGGATGGTCAATCGTGACAAGTTATGCAAAGTGAGTCCTATCTCCAATTTGAAACTCCTTGTAATTGAGAACCAATGTCCTTGCGGGAAAATTGAATCAATAATGACGGCACTTGCTTCAAAGAACTCAAACCAAGAAAGCACATCTTTTTTTCTTTCAGTCATCTGGTCAAGCATACCTTATGCTCATACTTAATACTACTATGGGTTATACAATACCCGACACATAAAACAAATGCTCACTCATTTATCAATTTTATTGAAGGAGAAGCACAGGGAAAACCACTATTCCAGCATGAAAATCGATCATATGCACTAGCTTCCTTTGAAGACCAATTGGCATCTCCAGGATCAAACCCCAAAATATAAAATAGTAACAGCATTGCAATACCAGCACATGGAAGAAAAATTTTGGAGTAATAAAAGGACGAACAGCTTGTATGCATCTTGGAACCATTATGATAACAATCATCAATGTGGGTCGCCAATTAGAGTGTATAACATAGACAATGAAGGCATAGAGAGACAAGACCTGAACCGTCATGTTACTGCCAAAGCTAAAATTGTGGTTGTCACCAAATTTATGAGCCAAGAGTTTTAATGAGTGGCCACTAATATATAGGGAAGATGCAGAGAAGCTATTAAGAATCCGTCGCATGACCTCTAATATATCCCGAATCAAATGAGGCTTAGAAATATTAAGTGCAATATCAGGATCAAAAACCAATCCCCAAACAATGCTCTGATTGTGTGTCGACTCGTCATAACCAAAGAGGATGAAAACAATGGAGACAAGGAACTTATTATGAGTCCAAACCGTGAATTCCATGGCTATAAAAGACATGCGACTAAAGAAATCAGCAAGCCCACCTGTTATGGTTTGAAGGTTGATGAAAAAATAAAGCTCCAAAATCCCATTATATTCCTGGATGTTAGACGTCTTCGATCTATGGATGAAAAACGAATCCCGCCCTTGACCTCTAACAACAAACTCCCGATGGAGACGGCCGAGTGAAATTGCGGCGAGGAGGTCATCAATTACCGCAGCAAGTTCTGGTAAACTTTCAAGAGACTTGCCAGTTTTCCCTATCCATAGACGATTGAAGCATGGGATTCCAAGAGTAAAAAATAACCTGTATTGGGCTTCATCTTCATAGGCTACGTTAACACAAATAGTAAGCAATAATAGCTTTGAGAAATACTGAACCCATGACATGAGAGGCCCAACCTTTTGTTCGATTGTGAAGGCTGCGAAGCCTTGTGGAACAGAGTGGAAAGCCAGCTGAGGCTTTACTATTGAAGCAAAGGTCTTATTCCAGGATCGAACACACAAGTAAGACTCAAGCCATTAATCAAAATAGTGTATAAAGCTTCTGTCGCAAGAATGAGGATCGGGGGAACAAGCTCCCTAAATAGATTGTGCTTCTGTTTGGATGACACGCCATATTCCAAAAGATTATCAGAATTCTCCAAAGAGCCTATATCAGAGATCTCCATACCGAAATCGGCCAAGTATGTATCAGTAGTGGGATATGCATCAAGTCTGACTCCACTCTTTGGATCTAGTTCCATATCATTCCTTGTCGAATCAACTCCATTTGTAATTTTCATGTCGTCACTTTCTTTTCCATCAGTGGCTAATGGTGGATCATTGGCTCCAGATGTCAGGGTGTCAATACCGGTCGACGAGGCTTCACCAAGGTTGTTACAGTTAATGAACAAGTATAAGACAATGGTGAGTCGTATTGTTGGATAGCCCTTTGAAGCTCAACTTGTACCGCATCCACTTCAGTTTCACCAATCTTTTGGGTTAATTCAACAACCTTCTGTGCAAGAATCAGCAGTGATGCCTCCAAGCGATCAAATCGAGCATCCATGCAATCAAGTTGAGCATTCATGCGATCCAGTTGAGGTCCCATCGTAGCCCCCAACTTTTGGATTGAAGTTTCCAGCTCATCAAGTTCAGCATCGGTAAAATCATCGGCCACAGGGTAGGAGTCTCTCAATGAAAGCACCATTTGTAACGATCTAAATTGTAATATCTCAGCACAATGGAATAACAAGTATGTATTTACAATTCAATCCAGTTTGTAACAATTACAGGCATCTGGCTATTTAAGATTCTTGACACATGGTCTTTCTTATGAATACCCTCATATTGAATCGTTACACAATATGGGCTAGTTTCCATTTATTTTGGAATGTAGGTGTGATAATTAGCAACTGGCTATGTAAGTGTATAATGTTTGTGCATCATTGATTATATGTGGTTGCAAGGGGTTGTTCTCTCTAGCCCACGTAGCATGTCTGTTTGTAATCTTGCACGATTAAATGAAGGAATTCTATTACTACTGAAATTCTTTAGAATCTCACCTCTTTCTTCCATGACATACAGCAAGAGCAAATATTTGTAGGAGCAAGGGAGTAGTGATTGGTGGAGCTTGAAGGTGAAGAGAGCTGAAAATCTTTTGTATGTATTTTCTTTAAAATGTTTATTGTATTTTACTATTTTGGAGTGAAGATATAAATGTATATATATTTTGGTATGTATAAGGAAGGAGCTAAGGGCAGATAAACTACAGGTTCCTGCCATGGCAAGAAATGGACGTTATTTTGACATATAGTTATTATGTCCAAGATTGTGTGCATATGTACCCTTTTGCATGGACCAGTGGCCAAGGTATTGAATATTAAGCCTTGCAAATTATATATTTAATTAGATACAAGTTCTAACTAGTTGGATAAAAAGACAATGGGTTCAAGTATTATATGAGAACTTGGGTCTTAAGTTATTTGTACTAGTTTTAGTATAAAGGGAAATCAAGTCCTTAAACCACTAAACATGTCGCTTTGAAAGTAAGCTTTTGAAAAATTTGAATTTTTAGAAAATCTCATTCCTTAAAGAGGATCAAACCCTGTGTTTGAAAAAAGTTTAAAAAAATTTATTTTTATCAGGATGAAACTTGGCTCTTAATGGTTTGAAGTTAAATAAAATAACTCTACTGGTGGATAGAGGTAAGATGTTATAGTTGACTGATCAAATACACAATGGATCTGGAAAGGGATAAGGGTGATGGCATAAAATTTGCAAAACTGTGTTCCAACGAACTTAAGATGACGAACTTTAAGTTTCGCTCAAAATAACTTTATGTTCATGCAATTGATGTTCGAATATTTTTTTTAAGATATCAATTTAGTAAAATAAAACTTATTTAGATAATGTAATTTTGCATATATAATACTCCTCCGGTCCTTAATATAAGACCTATTTAACTAATTTGTTTAGATTAAGGAAGTTAGGTAAGTTAGTTAATTATAAAAAAGTGACATATTTTTCCTAAAACACCATAATCATCTTTCTTAATACCTCATTTCCCTCTTCTACTTGATTATGGTTGAAGGAGTATCTATAGGGGTAATTTAGAGAAAATTGATAAATATGAGAAATGGGTCTTATATTTAGGACCAAAATCAACTTAAGAATTGGGTTCTATATTAAGGACCGGAGGAGTATTTAATATTTACTCCTCTTTCTCTCATATCTATTAGACCTCAGCTTCCTTCACCACGTGTCCGCAGGCAAAAGGAAGCAGATCCTTTTGCCTTCTGTTTTTTTTTTTTTTAAATTTAAACCTTTGAATTTTGTTCGTTCTACTGATGAATCTGGACTGTGAGGTATAGATTTGGATCAACAAAATGAAATTTTTATTAGTTCTTTGTGCTTTATTAAGCAGAATTTGTACGCTTTTTGATGAATGTACGACACAGTTGGCTAAAATGAATTTAATTCATCGCTGCATTTTGTATTTTGGTGCCTCTGATCAGGAAAGATGAAGGGAACTTTCTGTTTTTTTTTTGAAGAAAAACAAGTGTTTCCCATAAGCCTAAAATAAGCGGAAGTCTTTTCTATAGATCTACAAAGAAACTCAATATTGGATGCATCCGTAAGAACGGCAAATCAAGCATTATGAAAATCTCTGAAAAAGAATAGAGACAGATTGAAGTAAACATCCAATACAGTTATTTAGCAGAACTTTTTTTCGTCAACGACTTATCCAAAGATTTAAAACAGTGGCATCCTGTTATTTATGTACCTGATCTCACCTAGTAGAATAGGGTCTATTGTTATTATAGCTTTAAGTGTTATATTATTACAGTACCTCCAGTCCTTAATATAACAGTATTATTTACGGTGTCCATAGATAATTCTTTTGCTACAAATTATAGCTCAATATACTGATGAATCCGAAGGAAAATATGTCAAAATAGACAAGCGTCAATGTATACTTAAACGTATAGTATAGAGCCACGCATAGTAAACAATCATCAATGTATGGTCCTAGAGCCATACACAGTAAACAACAAGGCAAACATGAAACGGAGTTGACAAAATATTAGTGAACGCTTGATGACAGATCATTACTGCAGAGAGAGATTGTGTAGCCTCTTATTTTTATAAGCCAAAGCATATATACTTAAATGAGGCTACTGAGCATGTGTGTGGGTGTAGGGGGCTGATGATAGTTAACGAGTTGGTGGTTTGGAAATAGGTATTGGCCGTGGACGTGGCGGCGGCGGCGGCAAATTTGGTTTGTTTGGCTTGATTATCATTGATTCTTTCGTAATTAAGGACTCATAAATTATTGGTTTCTCTGGTAACTTGTATACAGGTGGTTTCTCGATTGTAATCTTGTAAATTGGTGGTGCCTTCTTAATAGGTGCAGGCTCTTCTTCAACGGTTGGTATGTCATCCGCAGAAGAATCTCCAAAAGGTGGTATATTCTCAGACACTGGGGGCTTATAAGAATTTGTAAAGCTAGAACTAGTGGTGAGAAACACCACTCCAAAAAGAAACACTAGAAAGTGTTTAGAGGACATATTGTTGAACTTATAACTTGAGTTCACAGTGCAAATTACAGAGTACGCATTGCAATATAATTTATAGTGCAAGTAGGAAGGGCCGTTTACAGGGAGGGAGATTATGCATCCAATCAATATATTATATTAATGAAATGCATTTAATAAAAAAATAATGATAAAAAATTTTGTGTGTGTGTGTGTATTTTTTTTTGAAAAAAACTTTGCCTGTCTTCTTTGTAATATTTAATCATTGATATAGATATTTAATATATAAATAATATAATATTTCAGATAATATTTGTCATTTCCTTCCAACAATAACACGTGCACCACTAGGTTTCAACTGGTACATAAAGAAGTAAAAAGTATACTTCAAGTAGAAGTAGAGAACTAGAGATGAATATAATGTTATGACCTATTTTTTTAAAGTAAATCAAATTATTGTTCTTATCCGTAAAAACAACTACACGTAATTAACTTCTTTTTTCCCCCCTTATGTTGTCTTCAAGTCATTTTCTTATTATTAACTTATTGGCCTTTCGTGAAGTTCTTAATTATCATTACAAAAATGTACAAGTTGTTTATATACATGGAACAAGCCATTAAAATATATACATAGAGATGTGCTTATGATATGAATGTAAAGTAAATAAAACGATTATGAGTTATGACTTATTGTTTTAAAGGGAAACAAATGATTAGTCTTTTACGACTACACGTAATTAATACTCCTCCGGTCCTTAATATAAGACCCATTTAACTAATTTGATTAGATTAAGGAAGTTAGGTAAATTAGTTAATTATAAGAAAAGTGACACATTTTTCCTAAAACACCATAATCATCTTTCTTAATACCCCCTCCCCCTTCTACTTGATTATGGTTGAGGGAGTATCCATAGGAATAATTTAGAGAAAATTAAAAAATATGAGAAATGGGTCTTATATTTAGGACTAAAACCAACTCAAGAATTGGGTCCTATATTAAGGACCGGAGGAGTATTTTTTTTCTTTTATTCACCTCAAATCAATTTCTTGTTATTTCCTCATTGGCTTTTTGTGAAGATTTTAGTGTTATTCAAGGATTTATCATGGATTGTGTTTGTGATGGAAACATCCTTAATTAATTATATAATGTGAAAATAAAGCTAGGGAAATAGACTAGATGAGCCTAAATAATGTACCGGCTCGCTTTCCTATCATAATTTCTATTTTTAATTTTAAGTGTAATTTCTTAATCTAAATTTCTGCGTCGAACCTCAATTCCTTAAGACATATAATAATTAAATATGCAAAAAAAAATTTACAATTAAAAGCTTAAATGGATTGTCAATTTACGAAAAATAATTTATATTAAGAATCAATAATAGTTCTAATATAGAAATTAGAGGAATCAGGTAAACACAAATAAGAGATAGATTTAGGGATCTTAAGATGATCAAAGAGTTGACATGGACTAAACTGCAAAAATCTAAGTTTGCAAGTGACAAAACCAATAATAATACAACAACAACAAATCTTATCCTATTAGGTGGCCAGGGTCAGTAATGTACGTGAATTCTACTATGTTATTGTTCATTATCGTGAATCCAATTTTTTGATGAATTGTTAACTGAATAATGTTATAAAATTTTCATATGATATTCTAATGGCATAAAGGAAAATAACAGAAAACAAATCGAGTTATAAGCGTAAGTGGCTGAGTTATGGCCGAGTATGTCAATGCCTTCGAGGGTTTTTGACACGAACTTTCAGAAAGAACTGGGCAAACTGGGTTTAATTAAGGTTACATAATTGAGCTCAAGAGCTTTTAAAACATCTAAGCACTCATGAAGAATATTATTGGCCATGTTGACCGAAATTGAAGGCCCATTAGGGTTGAAATGTGATGTGTTTAAATGGGAAAAAAGTGAAGAAAATGTTGGTGAATGTAAAATTAAAAGGGACACATACTAAACAATTTTATTTTATATATATATTATCAGTGCCACAACTGGGAGAAAGGAACACGCTTATAGCATACATACTAAACAACAAAGCTAACTTAAAACAGAATTGGTCAAATATATTAACCAACAGCAGCGCGGGGTCCCTAATGTGCCTTTCTCTAATGCTTTCTAAAGTCATTGGTAATATCCCAACTTCCTAAATGTTGTTCATTTTTTCTTTTGATGATTAGACTCTACATAAAATTAGTTATATTTTGATATCTTATGGACAAAAAATAATGCAGTTTTGAATTTTTGATGATTTTTCAAAGGCAAAATATTGGCAATTTTGGTTTTTTTTTTCCGAAAAATCATAAAAATCCAAAACTACACCTTTCTTTACTCATAAGATATCAAAATGTCACTAAATTTTTTTATAGAATCTAATTTTCGAAAAGAAAAATGAAAAGAACATCTGGAAGGTTAGAAGGAGGCAAATTAGAGTTTCCAAACCCAAGAAACACTTGGTGACAAATTGTTGAGAGAACATGGATGTACTCTCTTATATTACATGTGTAACAAAGCGTACTTAAAATCATATAGGATAATGTGTTTTTGTTCAGGAAAGAAGACTAAAGAAAATATGATTTAGGGGATTTATGGCTTCAGAGGAGATGGCTTTGATGGCCTTGGATATGGAGGTCTCTGGTGAGGTGGAATATTGATCGGCTTCGGCGGCTTCGGCCTCGGCATCGGACTCTTAGCTGAAGGCTGGAAAACAAGTGGCTTTTTAGCATTAAGGCGATCGTTTATAAGAGTTCGACCTGTGGGTGAAGCCTCAAAAGGAGCAAATAGCTTCAGAGCAGATGGCCTTGGTGGCCTTGGAAATGGAGGTTTTTGATCAGGCGGAATATGGATCGGAGGTTTCGGTTTAGGTGGATTAGTGTCCGGAAGCGGCCTTGGGATTGGTGTCCAAGCTAAAGGCTGATAAACAAGTGGCCTTTTGACATTAATGTGATCATTTATAATAAGGGGCTTACCAGTTGATGAAGCCCTAAAATATGGTATATTTTCAGGTAGTGATTTCTCAACTAGAGGCTTATGGTAATCTGCAAAGCTAGAAGTGATGAGAAACACCACTCCAAGAACAAACACTAAAAAGTGTTTAGAGGACATTGTTGAACTCAATTTGTGTGTTCACAATACATGCCATAGACTATGAGCTCCCATACAATTTATACTAAAACTAGGATGAGGGCCATTGGTGGGGAGATATTATGAACCCTAAGTATAATCATTATATTATAAAATACATTTAATAAATAAATAATGATAAAAAAAGTCCAGCTTGATAGACGTTAACTTTATTGCTATAGCTTCACGCATTCATGTACGCGGAAAATTGTGAATCCCTCTTTTGTTCAACTTCTTTGTACCGCTTTTTTTTATTTTTTATTTTTATTTTCTTGTGCTCTTTGCAAGACTTAGTCATTGATGATTTGATGTAGATATTTAATATGTTTGTGTACGGATATCATCATGTTATATATAGAAGAAATGAATTTCTGGCATACAAGCAGCAGTAGGGACAAATCTCATCTATGGTTTTTTTTTTTAAGAGATCCAGAAGCAATTTGATGAATTACTACTGATGATTTATAAAAATATAGTGCTAGTTGATGGGAGTTAATTCCCAAACAAGGAAAAGTAAAATAAAATTCATTTGATCGGGTTATTTTCCCAATTCAAAAAAATATACAATTGGATCTAATATGCGTTGGGGATCAGAATGTACAAGTGGCCAGATAACAAATAACAAGGTCTAGGAAAAATATGTAACTTATGCTGCGCTGTTATCTTTTTTTTCTCTAGGCTCTTTAGGGTTCTTGTTATCATGCAAATAATAAGATTAGTTGATTGGTTGATGATATGGATATATATGCTTACTAGATGGCATTTGTGAGGTGAAAACGACTCTATTGGTCCCAAAAATAGTTCGAAAAGCCAGGTTTTTTTCATATGTCGTTAGGGTATACAAATTTTGTGCCGATCAAATTAAAGCATAAATTTTAAATGCAATATAACATTTCAAATAATAATTTTCATTTCCTTTTGACATATACGCCACCTGATTTTGACTTGTATATAAAAGAAAAAAGTAACTCTTCAAGTAGAAATAGAGATCAACCTAATGTTTTGATTTATTTATTTATTTATTAAAGCGACTCAGATTATCGTTCCTCGACATGAAAATAACTACCTATGGTGTTTAATCTCTTTCTTTTCCGCCTCTTATATATCGACCTCGAGTCATTTTATCATTATTCATTCTTTGGCTTGTCGTGAAGATGAAATCATTTACCAATTCTATTATATACTTAAATGTCCTTTTGAAATCTATGAAGAATGAAATTTCTTACCTGAATTATCAAAAGCTTTTTTTCTTTGAATATCTCTTCAATTCAGCATAAATGCTAATCTTTGGTAATGAAAAAGAGCCAATATAATACAACTGGATTGACAATGACTTTCAACGATTCCCCCTGCCAAAACAACAAATTTTTTCTGAACCTAAGTTCTGTTCTATATTATATTATTGAAATGCCTTTAATGAAACAATAATGATAAAAAATAAAGTCCGGTTGTCTGTATGTTTTTAATTTTCTTCTCTTCTTTGTAAGACTTGATCATAGATATAGATATTTAATATATATATATATATATATATATGGTTATCAAGTTATTATTTATGGCTTATTTTAGTGTAAAAACATATTTCTTACTTACTCCTCATGTTCTAAATCTAAGAGCTAGTTAGAGAATTAGTTTTGATTCTAAATGTAAGATTTTCATCCATTTTCATCTCTCATAGTCATATCTATCATTTTTCCCAAACAAATTTATCTAATTTATAAACTGATAAATTGCTTTGGTTCTATTTCAGGCAGAGAGAGAAGTTTTTTCTTAGTCACTTTGTTAAATTTTTAACATAAATGTACTATTTTGTCCTTCATTTATTATAGTGTGGATAGTTTTTTTTTTGAAAAGTGTATATATCAAATGGCGGTAAAGTTAAAAAGTTATTATTATATTTTAATAGAGAGTTAATGCAGTTTAAATTTTTTTTTTGTCCATGTGAAACATACTGGAAGTGCTTTATAAATAGGATCAAAGAAGTATAATCTAATGTTACATATGGATATTTTAGGGAGATGACCTCAGATTTGTTAGAATTAACATTAAATAAAGCTAATGTATAAGTTTGATCCTTCAAGTTTCAATTTAGTCATTTTATAACATGTATTCTTTAATCTGAACACCATTAGTTTCATTAATAGAAAATGCTAACTTAGTGAGTAATAAACTGTTGGTTGAAGTGGTAGTAGCTGCATAGTAGACACACAAAATTAAATTTTGCAAAATTCACTTATTGGGAGAGTTATTTTTTAATCACTCTCGGCCCAAAAAGAAGTCAGGATACCCTAGTTGCATCTTAAAAGAAAAATGCTAACTTAGCGAATTTAAATGACCACAAAGCTTGGTTAAATTTTAATCTTTAATATACATTTTTATATTTTAAAATTAACATATAAAAATGTTATATTTTAGTTTCCTTTTCATTCCTTCAATTTCTGGGCAAAGTCTCCATTTAAATTTGTTGAGCCAACATTTTAACAGTGTTAATAATAAAGGACTAAAATATACTTTATAAATTTAAGGGCTTTTACTAAAATTTGACACGAATTTAAAGGGTCAGACATATGTTTTAGTCATTAAGTAATTTATTTAACTTTTTTAATCAATTCTAATTAATTCAGAAACTTTTATATTAAGGACCTGTATGCGTATTTATTATTGGCTGATTTGTTGATGATATATATAGATATATCTCGTGCTTACTCTCTGGGATTTGGTAGGTATAAATGACTCTATTGATACCAAAAGGATTTTGAATAGCTACATTTTTTCCCATAGGCCATAAAATATACAATATTTGAAAGAGATCAAAGTAATATAAATTTTATAAATAATATAATATTTCATATGATATTTGTCATCCCCTTCCGATCTAATGCCGTATCATAGCTTGATTTCAACATGTAAATAAAGAATTAAAAGTCACACTTCACGTAGAAGTACGTATAGAGATAAATGTAATGCTTTGACTTATTTTCCAAAGTAAATCATTCTTACGCGTGAAAGCAACTGCCCGTTGTTAATTTTTTTTTTCCTTTTCTTTTATTGTTCTTGATTAGCATTGCATTTCAAAAGAATAACATAAAGTGACTTCAAAATTAATTTTTTTGTTGCAACTTTATTCACGCGCCTATTTGAGTTTTGTTTAGATAATCATTTATCAACTTTAATATATAGTCCCCTAATCCTAAATATAAGATCTTAAATGTAGAGAGTTGATTTTGATCCTAAATATAACACCTTAGTTAAGTTTATCTCTTATATTTATTATTTTTCCTTAACTAATTAAGTTTATCTCTTATATTTATCATTTTTCCTTAACTAATTTATTTGACTTTTAAACCGATACATAATCAAATGGAGATCATGCCACATTTATTAGAATTAAATAATTTATTTTACTTCCTTAATCTATCTAAATTAATTAGATAACTCATGTATTAAAGATTGTATGATTACATAATCTTTTGAAATATAAAAAGAATATTTGTTAGAAAAAAGAAATATAAAAAGAATATAAAGTTTATTCCTTATCTCAATTATAAAAAAAATTTCGTTTTATAATACCTCTTAAGTTTGAACATGAATGTTAAAATCATGTGTTTAAGTGGGATAAAAAGAGAAGATCAGAGAATGTTGAAAAAAAAAAAAAAAGAAGCAGTAAAAGTAAAATTAAAAGGGACACATACTAAACAATTTTATTATATATATCATCAATGCCACAACTGGGAGAATGGAACATGTTTATAGCCATACATACCAAACAATAAAGCCAACTTTAAACAGAATTGACCAAATAAATTAACAAAACATGGGGTTGGGGCCCCTAATTACCTTTCTCTAATGTTCTCTAATGCCCTTTATGGTATTCCGACTTCCCAAATGTTTTGTTTTATTTTTTCTTTTGATCATTAGATTCTACATAAGCTTAGTGACATTTTGTTATCTCAGAGGCAAAAAACGGTGAAGTTTTGAATTTTCAATGATTTTTCAAAAACAAAATACTCCAAAATTACGCAAGTTTGATTTATTGTTTTTGAAAAATCATAGAAAATTCGAAATTGCACTGTTTTTGGCCCATAAAATGCTGAAATGTCACTAATTTTGTGTACAATATGATGATCAAAAGAAAAATGACAAGAACATTTGGGAGTTTGAGGCATTACAAAGGACATTAGAAGGAGGCACATCAGAGAACTCAAACCCAACCGACACTTGATGACAGATTGCTGAGAGATCACGCAAGTACTCTCTTATATTTAAAGCAACAAAGCATACTTAAGATCATATAGGATACTGCGAAAGGAGGCTAGCGAGCATATGGTTCAGGGGGTTGATAGCTTCAGAGCAGAAGACCTTGGATATGGAGGTTTTTGTTCAGGTGGAATATCGATCGGAGGTTTTGTCTTTAGGTGGAATATTGATTGGAGGTGGCTGCCGTATCGGCATTGGTCTTGGCCTTCGTCTAGCATTAAGGTGATAATTTAATAGTGTTTTACTACTGGATGAAGCCTCAAAAGGCGGTATATTTCCAGGCAGTGATTTCTCAACTAGAGGCTTATAGTAATCTGCAAAACTTGAAGTGATGAGAAACACCACTACAAAAAAGAACACTAGAAAGTTTTTAGACGACATTGTTGAACTCAATTTGTGTGCACAGTACATGTCATAGACCATGGGCTCCGATCTAATTTGTACTAAAACTGGGGGGGGGGGATTGGCGTGGAGAGGTATATATCATGAATCCAAATATATTTACTTATTACCATTGTATTATTTCAAAGGAATATCATAAAGCCATTTAGGAGTGTTCACATAGGCTTGTCCCGGTCCCAACTATATTGGGACGGGACAGGACAAATCAGGATGAGACAAAAAATGAGATCAGGACGGGACGGTCCCGTCCCTGTAGTAATATTTTTTATTTTTTTATCATCTTATAATTATTAAATGTTAAAAATACAAAATATTTAAGACAT